CTGGGATAAGGGACTGTCCCGCCAAATAAGGGACGGTTGACAGCTATGATGCTGAGCTTCTCCTGTAGACTGGGCGGTGAACAATCGGCTTGCTTACCCATTTCCTCCCAGGGTGAGGGGAAGTGACCTAGGCTAAGCCTGGCAGGACAGCTTACTCTATGGTATTAACCCTTTGCTGTGTCAATTAGATTTAAACAAGCTGCTGGTTATCCCACAATATCTCTGCATCTAAGCATACCACTCATGTCCTTCCAGGTGCATTTTTGCGAAGGACGGAGAGAAAAAACATTGCCACACCCCCCCATTACTTCTAACCCCCCTAAACCCCCAGAACCGCATAGGGAAGCTAGTCGTTTGTCTTGTTCCGCATCAGTTCTAAGGTTCAAGTCCTCAAGGTGTATCCAAGATTTGGTGGCTATGTGTGAGGTTGTCGGAGGGGTTTAGGATTCGGTTTTTAAATCGACTCAGTTCAACCGCCCTGATCTTTTATAACCCGTCCTGTTTTACTGATCATAACATTCTTAGAATCATAGAATCATAGAATCATAGAGTTGGAAGAGACCACAAGGGCCATCGAGTCCAACCCCCTGCCAAGCAGGAAACACCATCAGAGCACTCTGGCATATGGTTGTCAAGCCTCTGCTTAAAGACTCCAAAGAAGGCGACTCCACTCTTGTCTGCATTCCTAGGCTAGAAGCTGCTCTGGTGATGCTTTCAAACCATGCTTTTTTTGGGGGGGGGGCATTGAATTCCAAAAGGAAATGTAGCAGAACAAAATCGAACTAGCTCCAAAGGAACCCTCCCTCTCCCCAAATAAATAAAAAAAAATAGCTTGGTCTGAATTTTGGTTGGGGAGAATTTGCCGGCGTGCCTGGAAAGTATTATTATAAACGGATTTGCCGCCTAGTTCTGAGTATTTGGAGAGCCGTTATCAGAAAGGGGTCTTCTGGTCCGATTTAGTGCTAAGTGGAAGCCAGGAGATGAATTTTGCTCAGTTGACGTTACCTGTTCAGGTTACCTGCCAGCCACGCCATTTTCACGAGACACTATTTCACCCCTCTCTCCCATTTTCTTTTTATCCTCACCGATCAACGGCAGTTTATGCACATCAAACATGTTCATTGGTCTTTTGGGGGGGGCGGGAGTCCTCCCCCTCCCATCAGATTCCTTTTTTTAAATCCCAATTTTCTACTTTTGCAAGCCTTGGGTTGCCCCCTGCCAAAAAAAAACCACACCTTCCAGTTCTGTAAGGAGCACTGGATTTGCAAGATCAGAGAGATGGCTCTATCTTCCATTTCCAGCGTTTGCAAAGCGAAGATGGCGGAGAGTCGGTAATCAAATCCTTCGATTCTCGTCAAACCTTCCGGTTGGCAGGTTTGAAACCCAGGCCAGACCTACAATGGAACTGCCTTGCCTCGCCCCCCCCCCCCAGATTTCCCATTTAAATGACAAGACCTCTGTTTTAATTTTAATCCACACACACACACACCCTTTTAAATCCGGCTCACACCAAAACTCATCCATGCTCAGGGAAGCAGATTTGAAAAGATTGGTTCTGACACATGGCAGGGAGGGCGGCTGTGCGAGGGGGGAGAGGCTAGACAGATTTTTCCTTATCCCTGGGTGCTGGGGGGGGTGGTGCTGGCGTGCAGAGAGAAGCTTGCGTGTATCCCAGGGGGTGTCAAGTGCAACAGAGGCCATAGCTGACTTCTAAAGAGGGTGGGAAGAGGGTTGGGAGTTTGGGGGGGGGGCGGGCTGCTGTTTTGAGCAAATGCAAAAAAAACCAAACCAAAACACAACACAAGAAGTGACCTACATCTGTTCTCAGAGATGTGGGGAGGAGGGATGTTGTCGGAGGGAGGGGGGTATGATTGCAGGGGTGAAAACCCTGCAGGAATATCTCTCTCTATGTACTGTATATACATATCTATTTCTCTCTCTCTCTCTCTCTCTCTCTCTCTCTCTCTCTCTTGTAGCTCTTCTTCTTCCTCCTCTTCTTCCTCTTCCTCTTCTTTCTCCTCTTCTTCTTGTTCCTCATCTTCTTCTTCTTCCTCATCTTCTTCTTCCTCATCTTCTTCTTCCTCTTCTTCTTCCTCCTCTTCTTCTTCCTCTTCTTCTTCCTCTTCTTCCTCTTCCTCTTCTTCCTCCTCCTCCTCTTCTTCTTCCTCTTCTTCTTCTTCCTCTTCCTCTTCTTCCTCCTCTTTTTCCTCCTCCTTCTCTTCTTCTTCTTCTTCCTCTTCTTCTTCCTCTTCTTCTTCTCCCTGGACCAGAGCACGCCAGGCACTCCTGTCTTGCACTGCCTCCTGCAGTTTGGTCAAACTCATTGCTTGGTAGCTTCAAGAACACTGTGCCACCATCTCGTCCTCCGTCGTCCCCTTCTCCTTGCGCCCTCCATCTTTCCCAGCATCAGGGTCTTTTCCAGGGAGTCTTCTTCTTCTCATGCAGGTGGCAAAGTTTGGAGCCTCAGCTTCAGGCATCTGTCCTTCCAGTGAGCACTCAGGGCTGATTCCTTCAAATGGATGGGTTTGATCTTCTTGCAGTCCATGGGACTCTCAAGAGTCTCCTCCAGCACCAGAATCCAAAAGCATCATTCTTCGGCGATCACCTTCTTTATGGTCCAGCTCTCACTTCCATACATCCACTACTGGGAAAACCAGAGCTTTAACTATACGGACCTTTGTTGGCCAAGGTGAGTCTCTACTTGAATCTCCCTACGACGACCTGCAAAAACCAGGCGCGACTTCAACAGGCGAGCGTTTCCCTGCGACAAACAACGCTTGAAACGGCAGAGAGCTCTACCTGTTGAATTCTTGCCTTTGGCTGGAGTTGTTTAAAGGCACGCGGAGGGGGGGGGAGGTGCCTAATCACAACCTCCCCTCCCTCCCCTTCACTTCCTTTAAAGGGTTAACAACATAGCCCCCCCTCCCGCTTCTTCAGAGCTGTAATCCTTTTGAGGGTTAGCCATTTCCCTCCCTCCTAGTCCTTTAACGGTTAAGGTTAATCTCTCCTCTCCCGGCTCTCCAGAGCTTTGAAAGATTATTCCCCCCCCCCGCCCCATCCAGACCTTTGAAGGTTCAACCAATTTCCCACCCACCCCCAGTGATATCCCCCCCCCTTAGCACTGCAAGGTTTTAAAGGACTAAGTCCATTACCATTCTGCCAGCGCTCCAGAGCTGCAAGGGTTAATCCAACCCCACCCCCCAAATTCAGAACTTAATCCAAATTCCTTCTGAATTTTCTTAATAAGTGGTGGGTGTTTTTTTTAAAAAAAGACTAATTGTACCGCTCTCCTCCTGCCAATGGTTAACCCAGTTTGCGAACACAGGAAAATCGACCCAACCCTCCAGTCCTTCAAGGGTTAAACAACACCCTCTTCTCATCAGGCTCTAATAATAATAATAATAATAGTTGGTCTAATTCCCTCCCCCCTCCGGGCCTTGAAGGGTTAAGTGACCCCTCTCCTGTCTTCTCTGGCCCTTTTAAGGGTTAATTTTCTCCCTCCTCCTTCTAGGTTGTTTGAGGGTTAAGCAACACAACACCGCCTTTTTAAAGGGTAACGCAATTGTGTTGAACCAATCTCCCCCCCATTTCTGTCCAAGCTTTTAAGAGTTAAACCAATTCTCCCCTCTTCTCCTGCTCCAGACCTTTAAGGGTTAAGCGACGCCCTCTGGCCTTTTAAGGGTTAAAACTCATTCTCCCTCACTAGCCCTTTAAGGGTTAAGCGACACCCTTTGGCCCTTTTAAGGGTTAAAACTCATTCTCCCTCACTAGCCCTTTAAGGGTTAAGCGACACCCTTTGGCCCTATTAAGGGTTAAAACTCATTCTCCCTCACTGGCCCTTTAAGGGTTAAGCGACACCCTTTGGCCCTTTTAAGGGTTAAAACTCATTCTCCCTCGCTAGCCCTTTAAGGGTTAAGCGACACCTTCGGCCCTTTAAGGGTTAAAAACTCATTCTCCCTCACTGGCCCTTTAAGGGTTAAGCGACACCCTCTGCCCCTTTAAAGGGTTAAAACTCATTCTCCCTCACTGGCCCTTTAAGGGTTAAAACTCATTCTCTCTCGCTAGCTCTTTAAGGCTTAAGCGACACCCTTTGGCCCTTTTAAGGGTTAAAACTCATTCTCCCTCACTGGCCCCTTTAAGGGTTAAAACTCATTCTCTCTCGCTAGCTCTTTAAGGCTTAAGCGACACCCTTTGGCCCTTTTAAAGGGTTAAAACTCATTCTCCCTCACTGGCCCTTTAAGGGTTAAGCGACACCAAAGGGTTAAAACTCATTCTCCCTCACTGGCCCTTTAAGGCTTAAGCGACACCCTCTGCCCCTTTTAAGGGTTAAAACTCATTCTCCCTCACTGGCCCTTTAAGGGTTAAGCGACACCAAAGGGTTAAAACTCATTCTCCCTCACTGGCCCTTTAAGGCTTAAGCGACACCCTCTGCCCCTTTAAAGGGTTAAAACTCATTCTCCCCTGTTACCCCTTAAGGGGAAAAAAATCGCCCTCTCCTCCTCCTCTGGCCCTTTAAAGGGTTAAACCCATTTCCACCTTTTTTCCCCCTCCAGCCTTTTACGGGTTAATCCAATTTTCTCCTCTCCCGTCGCTCCGAGTCCTCCGAAAGGGTTAACCAAAAAAAAAAATCTCTTTCTCTCTCTCCGCACTCCCCCCTCCTCCCCCGCCTCTTGGCTACACCGCGTCCTTCCAGATTGACACATTTTCTACGGGCGGCCGCCTCGGACCAATCGGAAGCCCCCCTCTCCCCACCCCACGTGGGGACCCAGCGCTTCCCCCCCCATCCTTGCCTCCCGATTGGCTGCGGCGCGCCGGACTGTAGCGAAAGAGAAGCAGCCAGACCCCACGTGGAGCTTGGCGCTCGTTCATTGATCGCCCTCCCCCGCAAGGCTGCTGGTGTGGGGGGTGGCGGGGGGGGGGAGGAAGAGAGAGAGGAAGAGAGAGAGAGAGGGGGGGGTTCTCACACCCATTCGAGGCAACGGGCCTGCGTCCCACCCACACACCCACCCACCTCCCTAGCCTCCTGGGGGGCCCGATCCTGGCTTGCAGTGGTTTGGTGAGTGCCTTTATCGGGGGGGGGGGCGCTGAGGTTTGATGGGGGGGCGTTAGCCGAGAGGAAGAAGGCAGGAGGGGCCTTTTCCTGATGTCTGATTCCACCCCCCCCCTCTTCCTACCTGCTAGAAAAAGAAGGAGACCCTTTTGTTCGGCCTGGGAGATTATAAATGAGTACCGGGGGTGGGATTTTATGGCCAGGGTGGGGGGCGCGGTGAGAGGGGGGACTGCAAGCCAGTAGAGGAGGAAGTGGGATCTATTCTTCTTTTTTTTGAAGGGGGGGGGTAATGAGAGTTTCTTGGGCAGTTAAAAAGAGAAGGACTCAAAACGGGCATCTGGTGAGGGGGGGAGAACTTAATGGGGGGGTTACTTTAAGCAGAGCATTGGGGGGTTGTTGAGGGGGGGGGGGAAAGAAGTTTTCTCCCTAGTTGTGGTCTAATTGTCCTTTCCTAGGGCTTTATGCTGGTTTCTGCCTCCCCCCCCAAAAAAATAGCCATTTGCGTCTATTTGATTTCCCCCTCTTCTCTGCCCCCACACCTGCCAACTCACCTGTATTTCCCTGGGGGTGAGGACCACCTAGTTGCAGGGGGGGCGCTCATTTTTTTTTGGGAGCCACCCCCCCCAAAAAAACCAACCACTGCCAACTGCTACGCAGGGGTTTAAACTTCTATTTAACCTCCTTCCCTGCTTGCTGCCCCCTCCCCAGCCGAAGGAATTATGAGGCTGCCCTTGAGCATGTGCAAAGTGCAATCCCATCACTTGCCCTTGAGCATGTGCAAAGTGCATTCCCATCACCTGCCCTTGAGCATGCGCAAAGTGCATTCCCATCCCCCACGCTGTTAGAGGAAAGCAAGTGTCAAAAAGGGCATTTTCCCTGCTTGGAGATCTGATACTATTTTCGAATGGGAAGCCCCCCCCCCAGGAGTCATTTAGCCCGTGAACCGCAAGGAAAGATAGCTCAGTCGGTTAGAGCTCGGTGCTGATAAACGCCAAGGTTGCGGGTTCGATTCCCCGTAAGGGACAGAGCTCTGCAAATTCCTGCCTCCATTGGGAATAAAAAACACAGCAAACGTGCAAATCTGGGTGGCTATTGGGGGTGTATATATCTGGGACGCGGGTGGCGCTGTGGGTTAAACCACAGAGCCTAGGGCTTGCCGATCAGAAGGTCGGCAGTTCAAATCCCTGCGACGGGGTGAGCTCAGTCCCTTCTCCTGCCAACCTAGCAGTTCGAAAGCACACCAGTGCAAGTAGATAAATAGGTATCACTCTGGCGGGAAGGTAAACGGCGTTTCCGTGCGCTGCTCTGGTTCACCAGAAGCGGCTTAGTCCTGCTGGCCACATGACCCGGAAGCTGTACGCCGGCTCCCTCGGCCAATAAAGCAAGATGAGCTCCGCAACCCCAGAGTCGGTCACGACTGGACCTAATGGTCAGGGGTCCCTTTACCTTTTTTACTCTTGAGTAAGGCTTGATCAGGTGCGGCCCATCGGTTCCTGGTTCAAAATTTGCTTCTCTACAGGTGACCAGGGTTTGGTTCGTAGCAGAAAAACAGGATCGCGAGCGAAATTGCAGAAACAACATTCCTATGGTTTTGCTCGAAGGATGTTCCCTCAAAACCGGCCACCGGTGAGTTTACCCCCCGATTTAAAGGTCCCGTGGAAAATGTCTGTTTCCTAATTCTTTGGAAAGGGAGGAGGCCGCCAAACCGTCTTAAGCATAGTCGGTTTGGGCCTGATTTTCGCCTTTCAAAATGCTAACGACCAACAAATTTCACATGCTGCAAACTTGCACAGTTACCGTATTTTTCACTCTATAAGACGCACCAGACCACAAGACGCACCTAGTTTTTGGAGGAGGAAAACAAGGAAAAAATATTCTGAATCTCAGAAGCCAGAAGAGCAAGAGGGATCGTTGGGCAGCGAAAGCAGCAATCCCTCTTGCTGTTCTGGCTTCTGGGATAGCTGCGCAGCCTGCATTCGCTCCATAAGACGCACACACATTTCCCCTTACTTTTTAGGAGGGAAAAAGTGAGTCTTATAGAGCAAAAAATACGATAACTTTGTGTGTGTGTGTGTGTGTGTGGTGAGGAGAGGTTTTGTAAAGGCCTTTTTCTGGACAGTCCTCTCCCCTGCTTTTGATCAAACCAGGGATATTCAATTCTTTTCGGTAATAAAACAACAGAGCGAAAAGAGATCTATCTATATATTTCTACCCCCCCCCCCCAGATAAAAATAAACAAGTGTCGGTCACTGGTTCTGTGTTTTATGATTTTTTTATTTTATTTTGTTGTACGCTGCTATTTATATTGATATCAATATCCATATCGTTACATATATATATAAATATATAAAGGAGTTGTTGGCTTAGAAATACTTTGATCTATAAACAAAACTACTTGAAGCTGCAAACAGCATGTTTCCTTAATTGTTTTGCAATAAAACCAAAGAATGGTTTATATCAATCAAGTGATCAGCCTTCTCCCTGTAAGTAAAGAGGGCCATCTTCCCAGGGGAGTTAAATCTGGCGGGGGCCGTATCCCAAAGTTCCGGCCCCCTCCCTTTCTCTCTTTCCCTGCCCAGCTGGCTGAAGCAGCCAGGCCGTAGCTCATCAGGCAGAGCTAGGTCCCAAGTCGTTGTGATTTTTAGCTCTAGGTTATCAGGCAACAAGGGACGCGGGTGGCACTGTGGGTTAAACCACAGAGCCTAGGGCTTGCTGATCAGAAGGTCAGCGGTTCGAATCCCCACGACGGGGTGAGCTCCCGTTGCTCAGTCCCTGCTCCTGCCAACCTTGCAGTTCGAACGCACGTCAAAGTGCAAGTAGATAAATAGGTACCGCTCTGGCGGGAAGGTAAACGGCGTTTCCGTGCGCTGCTCTGGTTCACCAGAAGCGGCTTAGTCATGCTGGCCACATGACCCGGAAGCTGTACGCTGGCTCCCTTGGCCAATAAAACGAGATGAGCGCCGCAACCCCAGAGTCGGCCACGACTGGACCTAATGGTTAGGGGTCCCTTTAATAATAATAATAATAATAATAATAATAATAATAATAATAATAATAATTTATTTATACCCCGCCCATCTGGCTGGGCTTCCTCAGCCACTCTAGGCAGATTCCAACAAAATATTAAAATACAGTAATGTATCAAACATTAAAAGCTTCTCGAATGTGCCATCGAGTCTAAAGCACACCCCGACTTTCAGAACCTCGAAAACAAAAAAGTATTTGCTGGCGAATGTAAATGCACCATCGAATCTATAACACGCACCTTAATTTTCCCAACGTGATTTTGGCCCCAGAAGGTGAGCCTTTACCGTTTAAAATACTCATTTCACATCCTTAAGATATCAATGACTTTCCTTCTTCTCTTTCCATGGTTCGTTTTGCATACCATAAACCCCTCCATATTTTGCAAGAACTGTACCCTTCAAGTATTCCATCGTTGCATCCATCAAAACTTATTTCAGTGGTACATCGGGTTACATACGCTTCAGGTTACAGACTCCACTAACCCAGAAAATAGTACCTCGGGTTAAGAACTTTGCTTCAGGATGAGAACAGAAATCGTGCTCCAGTGGCGCGACAGCAGCAGGAGGCCCCATTAACTAAAGTGGTGCTTCAGGTTAAGAACAGACCTCCGGAACAAATTAAGTACTTAACCCGAGGTACCACTGTACACTGTTGAATTTATCTTGAGGATGCCGGCGTTTTCAGCTGTACACAATTATTTTCCCCCATACATTCAATAAACATTTTCCAATCTTCTCCAAACGTATGTTTTTCTTGTTCTCTTATTCTATATGTTAAATCTGCGAATTGTGCATATTCCGTCAACTGAAGTTGCCATTCTCCTTTCGCTCGTTTTACATTTTGGGGGGGCTCATGAAACACGGGGGCGCAGTGGGGGCATATATATATAACCTTTTTTGACAAGCTGGGAATCAGGGTGCGACAATCTCTCTCTGAGGTTGGGCTTGTTGTGGTGGGGTTGGTATGGATGTCCTCTAGGGGACCCTCCGGCTACGCTGCACTGTGAGCACTCCTAAGACCCGGCGAGCTCCTGTTTCCTTACGGTCCGACGTCGGTGGTGATTGGCCTTTTCGCTACCTGTCTCCCAGGGTCACCTGCAGGCAGCACCCGTGGTCACTGCCGCCGCGACCAGCGTCGTCTCGACTGCCCCCCAGTCCCTGAAGCTGACCTACCCGGAGATTTTGGACCGGATCAAGGAGGAATTCCAGTTCTTGCAAAACCAGTACCACAGGTAAAACGGCCAGGTTCTTTTTTGGGCTGGGTGGGGTTCATAATGACCTGTCTATGTATTTCTAATAGTATAACCCAGGGGTCGGCAAGGGGGCAGATACTTCGTGGGCCGGACCAGCACAGAGTGACGTCTGCGCATGCCCAGACGCTGAAAATTGCACCTGCGCAGAAGTGATTTCCGGCACTGCGGACATGCGCAGACATGATTTCCGTCATCTGGGCATGTGCAGACACGATTTCCGTCATCTGGGCATGTGCAGACGCATTTTCTGTCATCTGGGCATGCGCAGAAGCGATTTCTGGCATCTGGGCATGCGCAGGAGCGATTTCTGGTGTCTGGGCATGCGCAGGAGCGATTTCTGGCGACTGGGCATGCGCAGAAGCGATTTCCGGCGTCTGGGCATGCGCTGAAGCGATTTCCGGCACCGCGGACATGCGCAGACCTGATTTCCGGCATCTGGGCATGTGCAGAAGCAATTTCTGGCACCGCGGACATGCGCAGACCTGATTTCCAGCGTCTGGGCACGCGCAGAAGCGATTTCCGCCACCGCGGACATGCACAGACACGATTTCCGGCATCTTGGCATGCGCAGACGCGATTTCCGGCGCCGCGGATGTGAGTCCTCGCGCCGTGTTGCGCCGGTTTAGCGCAGCGTGTGGGGACTCGCCGAGCATGCGGCTCAGTTTGGGTGCGGTTCGTGGGCCAGTTAAACAGCCTCCGTGGCCGCTTCCAGCCCATGGGCCTTAGACTGCCGACCCCTGGTATAACCAGATCAGTAATTTTTGATATAATTTTTGATCTTCCCATGTCTGTTCTCTTCTCTTTGCAGCTTGAAACTGGAATGTGAGAAACTCGCCACGGAAAAAACAGAAATCCAGAGGCATTATGTCATGGTAAGTGCCATACTGGGGCAAATGTGGGGGGTTTTTTGGGGGGCGAAGGGTCAGATGATGGTGTAAAGAGGGTCCCTAAGCCGTGATGCGGGTGGCGCTGTGGCTTAAACCACAGGGCCTCGGACTTGCCGATCAGAAGGTCGGCGGTTCGAATCCCCGCAATGACGGGGTGAGCTCCCGTTGCTCGGTCCCTGCTCCTGCCAACCTAGCAGTTCGAAAGCATGTCAAAGTGCAAGTAGATAAATAGGTACCGCACTGGCGGGAAGGTAAACGGTGTTTCCGTGCGCTGCTCTGGTTCGCCAGAGGCGGCTTAGTCCTGCTGGCCACATGACCCGGAAGGTGTACGCCGGCTCCCTCGGCCAGTAAAGCGAGATGAGCGCCGCAACCCCAGAGTCGGTCACGATTGGACCTAATGGTCAGGGGTCCCTTTACCTTTAAGCCGTGACTTACCGCACTCTTATATGCACAGGAAATTTTCTCTTTCTTAAGAAAGATAAAATAAAAAACTTTGTTTTGCAGTACTATGAAATGTCCTATGGTTTGAACATTGAAATGCACAAACAGGTACGTTTATTTATAGATGTGTTTATTTATAGATTTGTTTGTCTATGTATGTGTTTGGCTCTGATCTGATAAGGCCCCTCTGTGTGTAGGGGGAAGCAAAATCATGCAGGGTCTCTGCCCCAAAGATCTTCCAATCTAGACGGCAAGCGAGCCTTGCTGAGAATAGCAATTTCTGGCGTCTGCTTCCGAGCCCCACAACCTTGAGGACACTTGAAGGGGGATGTACAAATGTAACGAACGATGGTAATCAATAATAATCAATATCCAAGGAAGGGCTGGGGGGCCTACTCCGTTTCCTAGGGCTGCCGTACGCCCGTGTTTTCCCAGGAATCGGACAGTATAATGGCGCCCGGCCTTATTTTATTTCTCATTTTCCAAACAAATTTACGCATCCGGTTAAAGTTACCAAATAAGAATATCAAACCCCTTCCCCTTCGCCTATCTGCTTATGCCCAATATCGCCGCATATCCGATTTAAATCTATTTATTATTTGTCCTTTTCCGCTCAATTCAAATTATTATTGGGCTGCTCGTTTTAAATCCACCCCTGCTGGCATTTTAAAGCTGTACAATTTTCTCGGCTCTGCCAACCGTAGAAGCGTGGTGAGTGTTGTGCGAGAGAACAGGGCCTTTTCTGTGGCTGCCCCCAGATTGCAGCATCACTTCCCAAGAGAGGTTAAGACTGGCTACCTCTTTGCTGTGCTTTCGATGGCCTAGAATAGTTGCAAAACAAGCTTAGGCAAATTCTGGGAGGAGGAGGCGACAAACAATGGCTGCGTTCTCCCTCCACCGTTCAGAGGCAGCAATTGCCTTTCAACGCTCCTCTTCCAACCTTTCCCAGAGGCATTAATGTGTTGCATTTGTGGCCCACCTACAAGGAGCCCCAGGTTATGTCCACACCTCTCCCCCCCTTGCAATTTCATCCAAAAAACAGCCAGGTAGAGTCAGCCTGAGAGAGAGTCAGCCATTGGCCCCGTAAGGCTACTCACAAGCATAGCTGTCAACTTACAGATTTGAAAATAAGGGACCAGCAGCCTCGAAAATAAGGGATCAGCAGCCAAAATAAGGGATTTTCCCAGCACAGGTATGTTCAACTTCTGAGCCCCTCCGAGCCAAAGGCAGAAAGCTCAGCCAGCAGCCAAACGAAGCCTCAAGTGGTGGTTCCCACAGCGCAGCAACCCGGCAAAGGGGATGCAGCAAGGAAAACCACCGTCACCTCTCCGCTGGGAAGCGCTGAGCAAAGGCGAGTGCCCAGGCAACGTGGCCGATTTGATGGGCACAAGGCATGCAAGCGCCACCCCCCAGTCGTCCTTAGACTCCTTATTGGGTTAGCAACGCAGCCAAGCAACACAGTTGGAGCCTCCCTCCTCCCTGGCCGGCAGAGAGGGAGGGAGAGGAGCTGCTTCCTTTGAAACCCGGGAAATTTAAGGGACATCATCAATAAGGGACAGCAGCGGGACACGGCGCTGGGATAAGGGACTGTCCCACCAAATAAGGGACGATTGACAACTATGCTCACAAGGGACCGAGCCGTAGCTGTCAACTTTTCCATTTTCTTGCGAGGAATCCTATTCGGAATAAGGGAATTTCCCTTTAAAAAAGGGAAATGTTGACAGCTATGGGGGACCAAGCGGGTTAGGATTCGAACCGTGCTCCTCGTCCCCCTGATACTCTGAAACAGGGGTCAGCAAACTTTTTCAGCAGGGGGCCGGTCCACTGTCCCTCAGACCTTGTGGGGGGCCAGACTATATTTTGGAAAAGGAAAAAAAAAATGAACGGATTCCTATGCCCCATAAATAACTCAGAGATGCATTTTAAATAAAAGGGTACATTCTACTCGTGTGAAAACACCAGGCAGGCCCCACAAATAACCCAGAGATGCATTTTAAATAAAAGCACACATTTTAACATTTTAATGTTTCAATATTTTAATGTTGTATTTTAATTTTGTTTTTAAGTTGTATTCATTCAACTTGTTTTTATTGTTGCTTGTGAGCCCGGCCTTGGCTGGGGAGGGCGGGGTATAAAGAAAAATTATTATTATTATTATTATTACTCATGTGAAAACACCAGGCAGGCCCCGCAAATAACCCAGAGATGCATTTTAAATAAAAGGACACATTCTACTCGTGTAAAAACACGCTGATTCCCGGACCGTCCGGGGGCTGGATTTGGAAGGCGATTGGGCTGGATCCGGCCCCGCGGGCCTTAGTTTGCCTACCCATGCTCTTAAACCACCTTGCTTTGCCCTGGCACCTGGTGCCTGTCCAGAGGAGGGTGTGTGTGTGTGTGTGTGTGTGTGTGTGTAGGAAGACGCCCCCCCCCCCCCGTCCGATCTGGGCAGAAGCCTATGCATGGCTCAGGACCATCTGGCAGAACCTCCATCAGGTCTTTTTTTCCGACTCGTCGTCCTCCCCACAACGCTTCGTCTTTTTAATTTCGCTCCCTTTTGGAATTCTCCTGCTGCCAGCTCTCTCCACACCCCACAACCGCTGCCCCCCCCCCTGTTCATTTCCTCTGGCAAGATTTACAGCTGACTTCAGGTGCTGCTGGTCGGCTGCCAACAGCCTGTCTGCGCTCCTTGGGGGGGGGGTTTCCCCCTCCTTCTCGCTCTCCCCCCAAACCCTCACCTTTTAACAAGGGTTCGTAACTCTGGGCTCTTGACAGCCCCTGCGTGACAAATAGGATCTGGGCTTTTTCGGGGACGGCTGCTTTTGGAGTTATCGCCTTGGCCGTGCCGACGGATCCTTCTTGCTCATCTCCAACCCACAGACTTTGCCCCCCCCCCCAATTTTTAAAAATTAATTTTCCAAAAAAAATTTAAAAGAAGCATACATACATCGTAAGGTAAAGGTAAAGGGACCCCTGACCATTAGGTCCGGTTGTGGCCGACTCTGGGGTTGCGGCGCTCCTCTCGCTTTACTGGCCGAGGGAGCCGGCGTACAGCTTCCGGGTCATGTGGCCAGCAGGACTAAGCCGCTTCTGGCGAACCAGAGCAGCGCACGGAAACGCCGTTTACCTTCCCGCCGGAGCGGTACCTGTTTATCTACTTGCACTTTGACGTGCTTTCGAACTGCTAGGTTGGCAGGAGCAGGGACCAACCTTACTGCGCGCTTGTGAAACGTGGACTACTTATAAACGCCATCTCCAACTGCTCGAAAGATTCCATCAGCGGTGTCTCTGAAAATTTTTAAACATCCCTTGGGAAGACAGGCGAACTAATGCCAGTGTACTGGAAGAAGCAAAGATCACCCGTGTCAAAGCAATGATTCTTCAACATCAACTTCGTTGGACTGGTCATGTTGTGGGGATGCCTGATTGTCATCTTCCAAAGCAACTACTCTATTCCCAACTTAAAAACGGAAAGCTGGTGGTCAACAAAAGAAGTTCAAGGACTCTCTCAAGGCAAATCTTAAAAAATGTAGTATAAACACCGGCAACTGGGAAACGCTGGCCTGCGAGTGCTCCAGTTGGAGAACAGCCTTTCCCAAAGGTGTCATGGGCTTTGGAGACACTCGAACTCAGGACACAAGGGAGAAACGTGCTAAGAGGAAGGCACGCTTGGCAAACCCTCACCGGGATCTACTCCCGCCTCGAAACCAATGTCCCCACTGTGGAAGGACGTAGGGATCCAGAATTGGCCTCCGCAGTCACTTACGGACTCACTGTTAAAACCATGTTTATGGAAGACAATCTTACTTGGCTACGAGGGATTGCCGAAGAAGCAGCAGCAACACTGACTGGTAGCAGCTCTTTGGGGTTTTACACAGGGAGTGCTTCCCCTAGCCCGAGACTCGAACCCAGGATCTTCAGCATGCAATACAGATGCTTCATCACTGAGCTACGGACCCGGAAACTGGATGAGGGTTCAACTCTGAGTGCTCGACGGGGTTTAGTGAGACCTATGTGAATAATTTCCTCCTTCCTCCACAGAGATTCAATTTTCTGTGCTTTCCTTGCAATCCCCACTCCTTGCAAAGCCAAGCAGGGTCCGTTGAGGTTGCAGTTCTGTGTCCAGGGCAGCTGTCTCCCAGCTCCATCTGATACGCAGGATGAGACCCTATCTGCCTGCAGACTGTCTGGCCAGAGTGGTGCAGGCTCTGGTTATCTCCCGCTTGGACTACTGCCATGCGCTCTACGTGGGGCTACCTTTGAAGGTGACCCGGAAACTGCAACTAATCCAGAATGCAGCAGCCAGACTGGGGACTGGGAGCGGACACCAAGACCACATAACACCAGTCTTGAAAGACCTACACCGGCTCCCAGTATGTTTCCGAGCACAATTCAAAGTGTTGGTGCTGACCTTGAAAGCCCTAAATGGCCTCAGCCCAGTATCCCTGAAGGAGCGTCTCCACCCCCATTGTTCTGCCCGGATACTGAAGTCCAGCTCCGAGGGCCTTCTGGCGGTTCCCTCCCTGCAAGAAGTTAGGTTACAGGGAAGCAGGCAGAGTGCCTTCTCGGTGGTGGCGCCCGCCCTGTGGAAAGCCCTCCCGCCAGATGTCAAGGAAACAAACAACTATCTGACTTTTAGAAGACATCTGAAGGCAGCCCTGTTTAGGGAAGTTTTTAATGTTTGATGTTTGCCGTGTTTTTAATATTCTGTTGGGAGCCGCCCAGAGTGGCTGGGGAAACCCAGCCAGATGGGCAGGGTTTAAATAATAAATTGTTGTTGTTGTTGTTACTTAGGAAATGTGAGGTTCTGGGTTCAAATTCCAAACAAGCCCCGCTCAGTGTTGCCAGATAGCTGTACCTTTAGAAATGCCATGGGGATCACAACCTTGTTTTGTCCATTGAAACTCCCGAGTTTGTGCCCAGACAACTCCAATATTATTATCTTTTAATCCAGCGGAAGCAGGGGCTAAATTCAGACATGACTTTTACCCCAAAAGGCCGCCTTTTCCCCATCCTACTGTGGACATCAGTACTTGCCAATGCAACGCTCCACTGTGGCTCCACACAAACGCAGCCCAAACCCCAGTTTCTGGTCTGCTGATTAATTTTAAAGGTAAAGGGACCCCTGACCATTAGGTCCAGTCGTGGCCGACTCTGGGGTTGCGGCGCTCATCTCGCTTTATTGGCCGAAGGAGCCGGCGTACAGCTTTCGGGTCATGTGGCCAGCAGGACTAAGCCGCTTCTGGCGAGCCAGAGCAGCGCACGGAAACGCCGTTTACCTTCCCGCCGGAGCGGTACCTATTTATCTACTTTCCCTGGTGTGCTTTCGAACTGCTAGGTGGGCAGGAGCAGGGACCGAGCAACGGGAGCTCACCCTGTCATTGTTGGGATTCGAACCGCCGACCTTCTGATCGGCAAGTCCTAGGCTCTGTGGTTTAACCCACAGCACCACCCGCGTCCCTACAGATTAATTTTACCCGTAGCCTAAGTATTATCATTATTATTATTATTATTATTATTATTATTATTATTATTATTATTATAGGGGTGTGTGCAAAGAAACGCTTTGCTGTGGTTTTGCAAAGAAGCCAAACTCTGCTTAATCGCTCTTTCCTTTCGGGCGAAGGCGGGAGAGTGATTTCTGCGTGCAGAAGCAGGCTGTCGATAAATATATATATATATTTCCCCCGCAGGAAAGGGGAGAGGTCTCTGGGAGGGAAGCTGTGGGGGCTGCGGAGAACCAGGGGCGGGGCGGGGGGAAAGCCTGCCGAGCCGGGCCTGATCGTTTTTCATACCTCGAGCGTTAAAGTGCCACTAAATTGAACATTAACGAGCGCGAGTGAATTGGAGGCTGGCTCTTCCCCCAGGAGCCAACCCTGCCCATCGGTGCATTAAGGAGGGAGAATCCATTACTGCCAGCCCCGGGAGAGAATTAAATCTTTCCCAGAAAGTACCTGCTGGCGGTGCCTCGATTCCTCTATTTCTGCCTCGGTTTCCCCCTCCCTGTGTTTGGCGGATGTGCGATCAAGCATCTGGTCTCTCTGCCGCGAGGTTTTCGTTTCACGCGAAGCGGCGTAGAAACGGGAGACTTCTAAGCTTTTGGGTTTTGGGTTGCATTTATAGGTGCAGAGACACCACCTTGCCGACAAAGGTCCGTATAGTTAAAGCTCTGGTTTCCCCAGTAGTGATGTATGGAAGTGAGAGCTGGACCATCAAGAAGGCTGATGGCCAAAGATGGATGCTTTTGAATTCTGGTGCTGGAGGAGACTCTTGAGAGTCCCATGGACTGCAAGAAGATCAAACCTCTCCATTCGGAAGGAAATCAGCCCTGAGTGCTCACTGGAAGGACAGATCCTGAAGCTGAGGCTCCAAGACTTTGGCCACCCCATGAGAAGAGAAGACTCCCTGGAGAAGACCCTGATGTTGGGAAAGATGGAGGGCACAAGGAGAAGGGGGCGACAGAGGACGAGATGGTGGGACAGTGTTCTCGAAGCTACCAGCATGAGTTTGACCAAACTGTGGGAGGCAGTGGAAGACAGGAGTGCCTGGCGTGCTCTGGTCCAGGGGGTCACGAAGAGGCGGACATGACTAAACAACAACAACAATGCAGCCGGACTAGGGGGATCACGAGGGCCAGTTGAAAGTGTCAGGGGGCCGGCCACACGAGGCTCCTCGTCCTTACTCTGAATGAAGGTGCCGCTGCCCCAGGCGGGAAGGTAGTGGCGCATAGTGGTTGCACGAGGAAAACGGGGAGAAGCGAGGCCGGTTGCTCTTTTATTTATCTAAGTGTATTCTCCACAAAAGGGACGCAGTTGGCACTGTGGGTTAAACCATAGAGCCTAGGACTTGCCAATCAGAAGGTTGGCAGTTTGAAGTGGCAGGGAGTTACACAGGCACTTGCAAATTCTTGCAAATTTAGAGCATGTGTTAACCTGTCACGGATCGAAGTGGCCAAATGGGAATTTATAGGGGGAGAAGGTCTCAACTGATCCCAAGCCGTTAAGGGGGTTTATACGGCCCCCGATTTAACTGTTTGCCTCCAGCTGAGAAGCATCGATGCCCAGCTCTGTTTTCTGTCTAAGCCTGCCATCTTCCTTTTCCTCTCTTGTCTCTCCTCCTTGCCGTTGCAGACGGAGATTGCCAAGCGACTTAACGTCATCTGTGCTCAGCTCATCCCGTTTTTGTCCCAGGAGGTGAGTGTCTCTTCTTCGCACATGCTCTTCTAAAAATATGCCAGCCATGCCCTTTCGCCATTGACTCCATTCCTTCTCCTTCCTGGTTTTCCGTCCTCCTTCAACAGATGCAAGGGGACTGCTAGCCAGAACATTCATTAGTGTTGCTATTGTTACAAGCGAAGCCTTCAAACTATACTTTGCAGTTCGGGGTGTTCTTTCTCGGGATGCCAGCCATGCCCTTTTGCAATCGACTCCATTCCTTCTTCCCGATTTTTCTTCCTCTACAACAGATGCAAGGGGACTGCTAGCCAGAACATTCATTAGTGTCGCTATTGTTACAAGAGAAGCCTTCAAACTGAGCTTTGCAGTGCGAGGTGTTCTTTCTCGGGATGCCAGCCATGCCCTTTCGCAATCGACTCCATTCCTTCTTCCCAATTTTTCTTCCTCTACAACAGATGCAAGGGGGTCTGCTAGCCAGAACATTTATTAGTGTTGCTATTGTTACATGCGAAGCCTTCAAACTGAACTTTGCAGCACGGGGTGCTCTTGGCTTGGAATGCCAGCCATGCCCTTTCGCAATCGACTCCATTCCTTCTTCCCGATTTTTCTTCCCCTACAACAGATGCTCAGCGTCCTATAGATGTGAGGGCCTGATATTATTAGTGACAGGACATGTAGACGGTTGCAAGTGAGACACTCACCCGAAGTTTAAAGCAATGGTGTACTTTTGCTCTGGATGCCCGCCGGCCATGCCCTTCCAGAAGGCACTCCATTCCATCCCCCTCAGCACCAACACTTTGAATTGTGCTCGGAAATGTACTGGGAGCCAACGTAGGTCTTTCAGGACCAGTACTATGTGGTCTCGGTGGCCACTCCCAGTCCCCAGTCTAGCTGCCGCATCCTGGATTAATTGTATTTTCTGGGTCACCTTCAACGGTAGCCCCACGTAGAGCGCATGGCAGTAGTCCAAGCGGGAGATAACCAGAGCATGCACCACACTGGCGAGACAGTGCGCAGGCAGGGAGGGTCTCATCCTGTGTCCCAGATGGAGCTGCCCTGGACGCAGAACTGACCTGCGCCTCCATGGACAGCTGTGAGTCCAGAATGACTCCCAGGCTGCACACCTGGTCCTTTGGGGGCACAGTGACCCCATTCAGGACCAGGGAGCCCTCCACACCTGCCCGCCAGCCTTGATGGACCCCCGACCTTTTTTATTTTCTGATTCGCTCGTTAAATTATCCTTCCTCTCCCTTTTTCCCTCCAGCATCAACAACAAGTGGTTCAAGCGGTCGAACGGGCGAAGCAGGTGACTATGGAGGAAGTGAATGTTTCCATCGGGGTATGTGGACCCCCCCACTTCCCTCCCACGCTCCTGGGGGAGCCCAAAGCCGTCCTCTCCTCCCCACCCCACCCCAAACCCTTTAACTATGGGGTTGCGTGCCTTTGAGCTTCTGGGTGTCGCTGAACTATAACTCCCATCCTTATCCCTCACCTCGAA